ACAACAATAACCATATTAATTTTAAAGCACTAATTCAGGTGGAGCCCACTACCTAACCTCTCCGCCTCAGCATCTCCTCTGTACAATAGTAATAATAGTTGTACCTTCCTCACAGAATGGAGGTGAGAAATAAAATGTAAACATAGAGCACTTAGCATGGTATCTACTACCTAGCAAGGGCTTGAGTGTGCATGTGTGCATGTGCACGCACACGTGTGTAATAGTGAGGCTAAACCAGGAGAAGGGAGATGTGTTATTAGGTCTTTATATATTGCACATTTTTATTTTACTACTGCCTAATCACACAGATTGCAAAAGGGTCCACTTTGTGGATAAAAGTTCATTGAGTCATTGGGTAAAGAGGCATTTGCATTCCCTGAAAACTAGAGAATTATATAGGGTGTGCCACTGAATGTTCAGAAGAGAAGAAGCACAAGGAGGGGAAACGCCAGTGTTTGAGTTGATATCAATTTGGTTTCTAGATTTTGATCAGTCTTCAGGAAGTGCTTTGCATTTGTTTATTTAAAAAATACTTACGGGCTGGGAATGGTGGCTCACGCCTGTAATCCCAGCACTTTGGGAGGCTGAGGTGAGTGGATTGCTTGAGGCCAGGAGTTCAAGGCTACCATCAGCTATGATTGTGCCACTGCACTCTAGCCTGGGCAACAGAGTGAGACTCCATCTCTAAAAATAAAAAAAAATTAAAAATAAAAATAAAATAAGAAATACTGATGGATTTCGCACACACACACACACACACACGCGCGCAAGTAAAACTGGTGAACTCTAAATACAGTCAGTGATTACATAGATGTCAATTTCCTGATTGTGATATTGTACTCCAGTTATATAAGTTATGTTACCATTGGGGAATCCTGGGTGAGAAGTATATGAAATCTGTCTGTATTATTTGTTACAGCTACATGTGAATGTACAATTAAAATAAGAGTTTGAAAAAAGAAGTTCTCGTGTTCTATAGCTGTGGTCCCCAACCACTGGGCTGCAGACTGGTACCGGTCTGTGGCCTGTTAGGAACTGGGCTGCACAGCAGGAGGTGAGTGGCAGGGCAAGCAAGCAAATCTTCATCTGTATTCACAGCAGCTCCCCATCTCTCGCATCACTGCATAAGCTCCGCCTCCTGTCAGATCGGTGGTGGCATTAGATTCTCATAGGAATGTGAACCCTACTGTAAACTAGAGGGATCTAGGTTGCTCACTCCTTATGAGAATCTAATGCCTGATGATCCAAGACGGAGCTGAGGCGGTGATGCTAGCGCTGGGGAGCAGCTGCAAATATAGATTATCGTTAGCAGAGAGGTTTGACTGCACAGTAAATGTAATGTCTTGAATCATCCCGAAACCATCCTGCCCTCGGGCACTCCTCCTCCCCGGTTCATGGAAGAATTGTCTTCCATGAAACCAGTCCCTGGTACCAAAAAGGTTGGGGACCACTGTTCTATAGCACTAGAGGATAACTATAGTTAACAATAATATATACTTTCAAGTAGCTAGAAGAGAGTATATGGAATATTCCCAACACAAAGAAAGGATAAATGTTTAAGATGATGGATTGCTAATTACCCTGATCTGACCACTATACATTATATGGATCAAAATATCACCATGTACTCCATAAATATGTACAATTGTATGTCAATCAACAAATTAGGAAAACATACTTATGGAGCTATATACTTTGAGCCTGAAGCTGTCTTAGGCTCTGGGGATACAAGGAGAAACAGCAAGACACATTAATGCCCTCAGAAAAGATGAAGTAGGGCAAGAGGGTACCTTGAGCTGCTTTAAAAGTATAGTCTTTAAGGTATTGCATTAAATAGTTTCAATTAAATGGTTAAATATTTCTATTCATTGAGTATAGAAGTGATTATCCAAAGTCTCCATGTTCTCAAGGAAGGATAATCAACCAACATTTATAAGATACTCATACACACTGAAATTAGTAAGTAGTAATCCTTCAAGGTTTGGATTGTGTAAAAGGAATACTGCCCTAATGGTGAGGGCTGTGGAGCGCTGGAATGGGACTGAAGGATAAGAGGAATGACATCTTGCTCTGAAAGCTTTAAACAGACTGAATTCACATCTGTCTTTGTAGGTAATGTGTTTCTGCCTAAAAAAGGAATAGATGATCCCTTATATTTTTATAATCCTATGAAGTTTTATATATTCTTATTATAAATGCCTTTGATGGAGTGAGGCTCATTTTTTTTTTTGGTGGAGTTAAAAAATGTACATGATATATTGCTGATATAGTGGAATCCATTTTCCAAGGAAGTATTCTTTAAACTTTTTCAGTCTGACACTTATTTCCAGATATCTAAATTTTCCCTGATGTGGACTGGAGGCATGAATAGGGGCTTAAACTAGGACACTTAAAAAAAACAAACAAACCCTTTTATTTATTTATTTATTTGAGGCCATGGTCATTCATTTATTTCACATTTTATTCTCATTACATTAGGCTAGGAGAGGAAGGAACCATGCACCAATGTATTGATTGTGCTATTTTTTTTTTTTTTTTGTCTTTCAGACAGCATCAGGATCCAGGTTCTGTCTTTAAGTAAGGTTTCTGGATCAGAATCAGAAGAGGGTAGACCACTGCTGTGGGGGGCTTCAGGCTAACAGGAAAAAGGCAGGGGATAGGCATGGAGCTGACCATGGAAGGTTCATGTTCCAGGGCTGCCATCTAGGTACCCCAGGATCCTGCATGCAGCTCGGGGGTGGGGGAGTCCACAGTGGCCCCTCCAAGTGAACAGGGATGGCACAGGCCCAGGGCTGGTACCCGGGAAGTGGGAAGTCAGGTGCGTCTGCACAGGGAGCACCTGAAAAGATGCTGGCCTTCCATCTGTATCCCAGAATCCTGTGTAGGTCCTCTTCATGAGGACAGGGCCAGGGTTGGCTCCTCGGCCTCTGGCTGGCCTCATGAGTAGTCCAGTAAAAGTCCTGCAAACTCATCACCATCTGGAGACATTACTGCCAGTTCCTCTTTATGCCTCTCTGCTCAAGACAGTGGGCAATTGCTTTAGACCACTCATGATTTTTCTTGCTCAACTCTCCAAATTCAAGAGATATCCGTTCTTCTAGGAAGCTCTGGGTCTCCTGGCCACTCCAAGGGTTAATTAACTGGTCTGATGGTTTTTCTGGTTTCTTGGTTTCTTTTTCCTTCTTTACTTCCTGAGAGTTTCTAGTAATTTTAGTCCAATGTCTCACTTTCTCCATTTTTACTCCTGAGTTTTCTCCTGGCATTCTTCTCACTGCAGCCTCGGGGCCTAATTCTGAGTTGGCAGAGAATCCAGGACAATCTGAGATGCCCGAGTGTGGAAATGTGTTTGCTCCTCTCTGCTTTGTGTGGTCTCTCTAAAAAAAAGCCTTTTTATTGACATTTAATCTACATGCAAAATGACAAATCTTCTTTCAGTGAACACCTCTGTAATCAGCACCAGGTTGAAAACAGAATATTGGTGGGAGCCTTCGAAGTCCCTTGTGCATTCTGTTGCAGTTGCAGCGTCCCTTCCTCACAAGGGCAACTAGTGATATCATCCTGACTTTGAACTGCCGAGATGAGTTTTGCCTGGTTATTTACTTCATATAAATTGAATCATACTATGTACTTGTTAATGTTTGGCTTCTTGGGATTGACATAATAGGTTGATCCATATTGTTGAGTGTTATTCTAGTTGTAGCTCATTCATTCTCTTTGATATATATTATTCCATGGTGTGAATAGAATTATTCATTCTATTGATGATGGGCATTTGGGGGGTTTCCAGGTTTTGGCACCATAAATAGTGCTGCTAATAATATTCTAGGACGTGTCTTTTGGTGAACATATGTACATATTTCTTTTTGGCATATACCCAGGAGTGAAATTGATGGATCATAAGGTATGCATAAGTTTAACTTAAGTAGATACTGCCAATTTTCCAAAGTGTTTGCTCTTATTTAAAATATTGGGTCGAGCAAGATGGCTCACACCTGTAATCCTAGCACTCTGGGAGATCGAGGCAGGAGAATCGCTTGAGGTTGGGAGTTTTAGACCAGCCTGAGCAAGACCAAGACCCATCTTTACAAACAATAGAAAAATTAGCCAGAAGGGGTGGTACACGCCTATAGTCCCAGCTACTCAGGAGGCTGAGGCAGGAACGTGGCTTGAGCCCAGGAGTTTGAGGTTGCTGTGAGCTAGGCTGATGCAACAGCACTCTCGCCCTGGCAACAGAACAAGACCCTGTCTCAAAAAAATAAATAAATAAACTACCATCAGCAGAACATTAGAGTTCTGATTGCTGTACATTCATTTCAATAGTCAGTACTTTCCGTATTTAACCATTCAGATATGTGGTAGAGGAATTCTCATTTGGTTTCAATTTGCATTTCTCCAATGACTAATGAAATTGATCTCTTAGGTTTTATTAGCGATTTGGACACACTCCTTTGTGAAATGTCATTTAAACCTTTTGCATGTTTTTTATTCCTTACTCTTTCTTTTTCTTATCAAAGTAAGACACTTTTAAGAAGAAAAGTGACAACAGGCGTAAAACAGATAATATGATTAAGACTTTGGTTTGAATGTGATAAGTTTGAGATATTTGGGAGGCATCTATATGGAGATGTCAAGAAGGCATTGGATTCTGTGGATCTGGAGTATAGACAGTTCTGGGATAAAGATGTAAATTTTGGAGTCCCTGCCACATAGATATCATTTCAGAGGAAGAGTGAATGAAATCACCCACAGAGAGTGCAGAGGGAGAAAAAGCCCGAGGACTGAGCCTGAGAGGCACCAAGGTTCCTTCTCAAGTTGGGAGTGAAGAAAATGCCAGCCCCCTGCCCAGAAAGAGCCCCCGAGAGGCAGAAATAACATGGGGAAGAGGGGAGACGCGGAAGCAAGGGAAAAGGATTTCACAAAAGGGAGTGCCCAATGTGTCTAACTGTTCATTTTGTGTTGATTTTTTTCAAAAAATTCTGTCCCCTTTCATCTCTCCCTAGCCATCATCGTGTACAGACTGCCATGGACCTGGAAATGCAGCAAGCTCCTGATGAAATCCATCCATGCAGGATTAAACGCTGTTGCTGCCATTCTTGCCATCATCTCTCTGGTGGCCGTGTTTGAAAACCGCAATTTCAGTAACAAAACCCATCTGTACAGTCTGCATGGCTGGATTGGACTGACAGTTGTCATACTCTATGTCTTGCAGGTCAGTGTCTCAGTGTATTTATAAACGAATTATAAAAGGTAAAACAGGCTGGGCGCGATGGCTCATGCCTGCAATCCTAGCACTCTGGGAGGCCGAGGCGGGAGGATCGCTTGAAGTTAGGAGTTCGAGACTAGCCTGAGCAAGAGCGAGATCGTGTCTCTACAAAAAATAGAAAAATTCACTGGGTGTGGTGACAAGTGCCTGCAGTCTCAGCAACTCGGGAGGCTGAGGCAGGAGGATTCCTTGAGCCCAGGAGTATGGGGTTGCAGTAAGCTATGA